GAGAAACCTCCCTCCACATGCTTCTGACCATTCTCTACTTTTCTTGTGCAGTCAAGTCAATAACTTGAAACAGCAGAAGAGATTCAGATATCTTAATTGTGTTACTAAGGTGGATGCCTATCAAGAGACTGTTGCTAAGAGTTGGAATATTCCTTTGGAGGGTAGCCCTAGTTTCATCCCGTGGCACAAGCTAAAAAGGCTAAAGAATGACCTGTATAAGCTAAACAAGCCCTTGGTCTCAGCTAATCAAAAGGTTGTTGAGATTAGAGATAAGCTGAAGGCAGCTCAGGATAGCTTAGATAATGACAGGGTGAATATCCAGAAAATAAAAGAGATTTAAAATTTGACTGAAGAGCTTATGCAGTGGAATGAGATAGAGGAGTATGTGCTGAAGCAGAGAGCTAAAATTTTGTGGTTGAAAGAGGGTGACAACAACTCAACCTTCTTCCATGCTTCTGTCAAATCCAAGCAAACTAGGAATTCTCTATACATGCTCCAAACTGAAGATGGTAGAGTGTTAGAGAATTTGTATGACATTGAATATGAAATCTTGGCTTTTTATGGTTCTTTGGTGGGCACTTGGGATGTGGAAACCCAAGGGGTGGATATTAGAGCTATGAGGATGGGGACTTAGCTTCAGAATTGGAAGATGGATAGTTTGGTTATGCCTGTCACCGAAAAGGAAGTCTTATCCTCCCTGAATAGCATCCATGATATGTCTGCTCCTAGAATTAATGGTTACATTTCCAAATTTTTTAAATGCAGTTGGGAGGTTATTAAGCATGATTTGTTAGCCACTATCCAGGATTACCTTGAAACAGGTAAACTGTATAAAGCTTTTAATTGTACTATTGTTTCTCTTATTCCTAAGTCTGATTCTGATGTTAGCTTAAAGGACTATAGACCCATTTCTGTTTGTTCCACTATCTATAAGGTTATCTCTAAGGTTTTAACCATGAGATTAGGAAGATTTCTTGGTAGTATTGTCAGTCCTGCTCAGGCCGCCTTCATTCCTAGGCAGGACATTCATAATCACATTCTTTTGACCTATGAATTACTGAAAGGGTATAATAGGCAGGGTGGACCTCCTAAATGTTTGATCTAATTGGACATGAAGAAAGCCTATGACATGGTTCAGTGGGTTCCTCTTCAGACGATCATGCAAGAAATTGATATTCCTCCTAAGTTCATTGGTTGGGTTATGGATAGTGTTACCCGTGTCTCTTATAGATTTAATATCCAAGGCCATTGGTCTGAGTTGTTGCTGGCTAAAAGGGGGATAAGGCAAGGGGATCCAATCTCCCCTACCTTTTTTTTCCGCTAATTATGGAATACCTTCATCGTTGCTTGATGCAAATGGAACTGAACCATAACTTCAACTACCATTCTAAGTGTGAGAAGCTCAATTTGACCAATTTGATGTTTGATGATGATATCCTGCTGTTTTCTAGAGGTGATCTGGGGTATGTCAAGCTAATTTTGGATGCTTTTCACAATTTTTCGCATTCTACTGGTTTGCAGATTAATAGAGGCAGGAGTAACATCTATTTTGGAGTTGTTAATGTTGATTTAAAGATGAATATTCTCCAACAGACAGGGTTCCAGGAAGGATGCTTACCTTTTAAGTACATTGGCATCCCTATGACCTACAAAAAGCTTAACACTTGCCACTACATGGTTCTGGTGGATAAAATTACTAGCAGAATTAAACATTGGTCTGCTAAAATGCTGAGTTATGCAGGTAGAGTCTAACTGATCAAAAGTGTGGCTTTCTCTATAGAGAATTATTGGTTGATGGTTTTCCCTTTTCCAAAACGTGTGATTAAGAAAATTGATGATAGGCTTTGTACCTTTTTGTGGACTGGGAAGGACAGTGCTAGCAGGAAGAGTTTAGTGGCTTGGAACCAAGTCTGCAAGCCGGTGAAACAAGGAGGCCCTGGTATCATAAATTTAGCCGTTTGGAATCATTGTGCAATGATTAAGCTGTTATGGAATATTTGTATAAAAGCTGACAACATGTGGGTGAAATGGATCCACGCTTTTTACTTAAAAAACAAGGCTATCTTATTTGTCCCTATTAAGCATGCTAGCTCTTGGATAATGTGGAAAGTCCTTAACTGTCAGAATTTTATTACTGAGCATGGTTCTGTTTGGGCAGAGTTTTGTAGTAAGCATATTTTCATCATGAGGAAAGTGTATCTTTTGCTTAATACAGGTCTGGAGGTTCCTTTGTGCAAGTTGCTTAGCTCCAATGCTGCTAGACCACGAGCTAAGGTGTTATTGTGGTTAGCTTGTCACAAAAAGTTGGCTACGAAAAGTAGGCTGGCCAGGTTTGGTTTTATGAGTGATAATACGTGTGTTTTCTGCAGGGCTGAGGAAACAATTGATCATATCTTTTTTGATTGCCAGCATCTTCAAATAATTTGGTCCGCTGTCTTGGATTGGCTTCATTTTCAACACATCCCAAAAATTTGGAAGGATGAATTATACTGGATTTTGCAAAGAGGGAATGGTAAAGGCTGGAGAGCTTCGATTTTGAAACTGGCTATTGTTGAAACAATTTATGGTACTTGGAACTATAGGAATATAACTTTCTTTGGTCTTAGTAATAATAGAGATCAAATTACTCAGGATATTATTAACAACATTGTCTATAGAGGTTAGTTTTGTAAAAGGTTGAAAAATAGGATTGTGAGCCTTATGATACCATAGTTAGGTTTTTGTCTTGCTCTTGTTCTCTTTAGTGGCTGGATCCTTGTGATCGTCTTGGCTTGTATTATTTTTTTGGTTAATGAAAGTCCTTTTCTTCCAAAAAAAGATAATAACAATAACAATAATAATAATAACAACAATAATAATAACAATAATAACAATAACAATAATAACAATAATAATAATAACAATAATAATAATAATAACAATAATAATAATAATAATAATAATAATAATAATAATAATAATAATAATAATAATAATAATAATAATAATAATAATAATAATAATAATAATAATAATATGATAAAGAACCTATAAAATACTTGGAAATAAATGCAAACTGGAAATAACTTCAATAATAACGACAAGATTGTTGATCCAAACAAGTTACACAAAAGTTACACAAAAGAGTAATAGTACTAGTGGTGTGGTAGTTCCCCGGTGTGAGTAACTACCATTTTTACAAAAGTAATTTTTGCCTAAAACTATGAACAGCGCTTCCGCGCACAAACTTGGATGCCCAAACAATGAATGTTAGGTCCTTTATATAGTGAGAAATACTGGAAGTTATCATGTGAGAGGTAGTGGAGATCATGGTCGGAGAAGTTGAGAAAATCATGAGGTGAGTGGGTGAAGTGGAAACAAGTACGTGGCCTGCAATATTAGAGATGTGGCGAGGGGCATGCCTTGTGTGTCGTGGGACACACAAGTCAAAGCTTTGTCGAACGTAACACGTGTGTGCCGAGGGGCACACATAATTCCAAGGTATGGCGACCGGCTGGAGGCTGTGACGACTGTCACAGTCCTCTGTCATGCAATTTCCTTCTGTTTTCTGCTACAGAGTCATTTTCAACTCATTTCTTTGTCATTTCTTTCTCTTTTCTCATGCAAGTCTTGTGGAATGTAAACCTAAAATGAAATAGAAATACCAGCATAACAAGATAAAAATGAACGAAAACGAAACTAAAATGCACGCGAGTCAAGTTGAATATACGATATAATTTCGTGTTATCACCTTTGCATAACCAATCCTCTTACCTAGATCTCTGTTTTTATTAGTTTGTGTTTTAAAAATTTCTGAGTTTTATTCAGTATTTTCTCATTTCTTTGAAAACAATAAAGTGTGACGATATTTATTTTGTGAGTTAAGTTAATCAATAGTTTAATCTCAACTTTTATACCTACCTCTACACAGGTTGTAGATGTGCTAACCAAAGAATTGAGACTGATAAATTTCTAATTCTAAAGAATGTATCAGGTTGATTTGCTATCAAGTGATTATTATATGATTGAAGTAAGTTATAAGGTATTTAAACAACTATAAGTAACTTCATATGTGATTACAAGTTGTAAATGTGGTTACTACTAATTAGAAGTTAGTTAATAATATGATCTTCTATAAATGATATAATACATATCGTAAAAACAACTAAACATAATTGTATACAATCATTACTTTAATATCTCTCAATTCTCTATATATTTTGTCATTCTTATTTCTTAAAGAGCAAGAAAGCTCTTGCTAACAACTTTGTTTTATCACCAGTCCATAAATATCTCTTTTCAGTTCATAGAAAATAAAAAATAAAAATAAAAAACAACCCTAATACATTGGTTAGATTATTATTTGAACTCTAACTTCTAAATTTTAAATTTTCAAACAATATTTAATTTTCAAGAGATGAAAATTTTAAAAATTTTATACAAATGCTCATCTTTTTCAATTTTATTCCTATAATAACTATTATTATCATTTATTTCTTAAAATAACTCACTTTTAAATAAAATAATTGAAATAAAGAGGTGTTGTCAGATGAATTATCGTCTTCATTTAAAAAATAAGAGTTATAACCAATTGAATTGACGATATCTTTTATTTTTTAAATAAAAACGTCAATTCATTTAACTACATCTCTTTATTTTATTTTTGTAATTTAAAAATAAATTACTTTAAAAAAATGAAAATAATGATTATTATGAAAATAAAATTAAAAAAAAGATGATTATTTGTATAAAATTTTCAAAAATTCCTCCACTAAAAGAAGAAGATAAAAGTTGTAGAGACAAAAAAAAAATTGTTAATTTATTATTGATCCCAAATAATGTGTTACAAATCTGATCTGAGACGAAGAGAGTGAATGGCTTGGAGTGAGCCACAACCTCAATCATCGCTCACCGCACAGTTTAAAAAAACTACCTTAACAACCTTAAACCACAAACAAGGTTCGGTCTGAACATCCTCAAAAACTCTCTGTTTTCCTTCGAACCCACGTTTCCCCATTTCAATGGCTTCTTGTATATCCACTCCCTCGCCTTCTTCCCGATTACAACTCACTAAAACAACCTTCATTGCTGCAACTTCACTCCCTCTCTATCACAGTTAGCCACTCTTCTCTACAACACTCTTTTACTGTATCATCTCTTTGTTGTTGCTGATTTTGTTTATGTTGTTTGAAGGAAGTAAATGTGAATTGAACAGAAGGAGTTTAGCAGTTAGAGGAATTGTAGCAACTGGAGTTTCAGCTATGGCTATGGCTTCCACTCTTACTTCTCAACCTCAACCACCTCAAGGTTAGTTAGTTACCATTCCTGATCTAGATCTTGGTTACTTTTTTTGTTTGCTTATATATATGCATGGCCTTTTCCTTTTGAAGAGAAGGGACTTGAAAGATTAGCATATAAAGCTGAAGGGTACAATTATTGGAAGTGGAAGGATCATAACATTCACTATGTTGTACAAGGAGAAGGACCTCCTCTTGTTCTTATTCATGGTTTTGGTGCATCTGCTTTCCACTGGAGGTTTGTTTTATGAATCTTCTATGGGTTTTGAATTATTTGTTGAATTGTACATTGAATATACGCATGTAGTTATTCATGTAATCTGTTAAAAAAATTGTCAAATAGATCCTGCTATTCTTTTTTGAAGTCTGCGCTGCTATCTGAAGTTGACAACTATGTTCTTACTTAGTATATTACATGCATTTAGCAATAGACATGTGTATTTTCCTCACTATATTCATAATATAAGTGATTATAAAACAAGTTCCTAGTAACAATGAAGCTTCATTTTATAACATAGAAGGCAAACTTTGAATAACAATCAATCTGTGTTGGACCAGTCCATAAAGAGCTTTGCTCTGGCTTCAGTTGAGCCCCTCACTAGTGAACGGCGAGATTGATGACAAAGTGAAATTAGCATAAATCTTAAATAGGTGACGCTTGTTATTAATTTTGTGATTTTTCGAGTCCCGTCACATGGTTTTGGCTCTGTATAAGGACATCTTGCGAGTTTCTCTTTCACACAGGATCTATCCGTTGTTTCTTTTCTTTGGGCGTCTAACTTCCTTATAAAAAAAACATGGTTTTTGCAAAAGCTTGTCTTTTGTACCTTCAGTCAAAACCATGGTTTTGTAAGACTATAAGCCCGAGTGTTTTGTCTTTGCAATGTATGTAGTCTTGATTAATATTCAATGTTTGTTACAGTGACCTTAACTTTACAGTGATTCAATGTTAGTTTTTTGTCATGTTGATAGTCATATAGCTTTATTTACATATTTCCAGATACAATATTCCAGAATTGGCGAAGAAACACAAGGTTTATGCCTTAGACTTGCTTGGATTTGGGTGGAGTGACAAAGCACTCGTCGACTATGATGCCATGGTGTGGAGGGATCAAGTCACAGACTTCTTGAAGGAAATCGTAAAAGAACCAGCTGTTTTGGTTGGAAACAGGTACTTAATTATAACATCTGCTATATTGATTCTTTTTTTCTTTTGTTCAACAAAGTTAAAACTATGATGTTAATCTCAATCATGATGATTTTTCAGCCTTGGAGGATTTACTGCTTTGATTGCAGCAACCGGGTTGCCTGAGTTTGTCAACGGGGTCGTTCTACTGAATTCTGCAGGACAATTTGGTGATGGAAATAAGGAACGTAAAAACTCCGAGGAAACAACACTACAAAAGTTTTTCCTAAAGCCTTTGAAGGAAGTTTTCCAGCGTGTAGCTCTCGGATTTATATTCTGGCAATCGAAACAACCCACTCGGATTAAATCAGTTTTAAAAAGTGTAGGTTAAATGCTATCTTCAACTTGTGTTCTTTAAAAGCTTAATAGTTATAAAGCTTAATTGCATAACTTGTCAATGCAGGTGTATGTAAACTCTTCCAATGTGGATGATTATCTTGTGGAATCTATAACAAGGCCAGCTCAAGACCCCAATGCAGGAGAAGTTTATTACAGGTACATGAATGTGTCCATTCCTATACTACCTAGTCAGTCTTTGTCTGTGTTTGGTTCTACATCGACGACAAATGATTTATGTTTTGATACGTTCACTTGAACGTGCGTTGTGTGTAAAAGGCTAAAATTCATATTTGGATGCAAAAGCTGCAAATCCTAACTTCTCGTATTATTCTCTGCAGGTTAATGACGCGCTTCATGATGAATCAGAGCAAGTACACTCTAGATTCTGTGTTAAGCGAACTCTCTTGCCCGTTGCTTCTGCTATGGGGTGACCTTGATCCATGGGTTGGTCCAGCCAAAGCTAATAAAATCAAAGAGTTTTATCCGAAAACAACTCTCGTTCACTTGCAAGCCGGGCATTGTCCACACGACGAGACACCCGAGCTTGTTAACACAGCATTGTTGGACTGGCTCACAACCCTTACTCCTCAAGTCACTCTCCAAACAGTTTGAACACATATGTTCGTGTATGTATAGCTAATTGAAACATATTTCTTGACTAAGTTTTGAGATTCATGTTGTCAGACGAAGTCATCACCATACGATGTATAGAAAAGCCGGTTAAAAATACCAAGGATAGTGGAAAATGACGATACGCATGTAGGCGATAGTCGTTATTCTGCATGCCTGCAGTTTTTGAAGACCATGTATGTATTCATTTGTTACATTACATAGAACTTTGTCTTTCTTTAATCAAGTTATATATTTGATTTTTCCCCTTCAAACATTAGCAAATAGAAGTGTATTACCACTTGGCTATTTTTCAATCATGTCATTTCATTATATAGCTGATTTTTTTCCTGATGACTCCATTATATAGCTGCAAGTTTATAAAATACAGACATTGTAATTCAAGAAAAACTGTTATGAAAGATAAGGCCCATGAAGAATGGGAAGATCCCCATGAGAAAGAAGAAGACAGATGGATTCCTAAACTAAGGACCAAGAGGAATTCAGCCCGGTCCAAACACCTTAATGATTATATCATGTAGAAAGGCTAAGTAATTCTAGAATATTCCTTATATGACACAATATAAGTTTGTTAGAAGGTGAGTCATAAAAAATTTGTTAGAAATGCCTTGGATTCTAGCCAAGCTCACACTATTTATGTACTATATTGCACTTGAATGAAATCAAGCAAATACAAGAAAATAGTCCGTAGCATTAGTAGTTTCTAAACCTGCAAATTTATCTCTCTTACTTTATTCATAACAAAAACACTACATTATACATTAAAATATAATAAATTAATGTTGTCTAATAATTGTTTGAGGTGTTAAAATTGGATTCCTATATTTAGTTCAAGAGTGATCTTTTTCATGTTGATAAAAACTTTGTAATCTTCTTTGTTTCTGATGAAAATCCAGCATATTCCACCAAATCCAAGTGTAGTATGTGCTTTAGGTGCTACAAATATTACGAGATATGTCAGAACAATAATAATAATACTAATAACAAAAAAAAAACGAGAAAACTAAACAAGCCATTTTAATGTGCAGTTTACAAGGACATTATACCTTAACTGCAGGCCCAACTCTCTGTCTGTGCAAACAGTACCATACTACACGGCCTCATTCTTAAAAGAGAAATTAATATGACACTTCACATTTTATACATGTCACTTCTTAGACTGGTGCAGTTACGAAAATGTCCCTGAAATATATCTGAAGTTTTGAAATTTCTGATAATGTATCGGAAATTTCATACAAATATCAGAAATTTCGTTAAATTTTCAAGTTTTTACCATGTTAGTTGGTTGATATGGAAAATTTGAAATTTTCGATATTGGATATTTCAAATTTCCGATGTTTTTCAACATTAAAATAACAAATCGGAAATTTGAAATTTTCGGTGTATGAAAAATACCATAAATTTTAAACTTTTCGGTATTTTTTTAATTCTAAATACAAACCGGAAATTTGAAAATTCTGGTGCATAAAAAATACCGGGAATTTCAAATTTCCATTAATACTGGAACTTAAATTTTTTCTGTTTTTTTTTAAATTATTACTTGAATAAAATACACTGTGAAATAGCGAACCGACTAAATATATAAATAGAATAGTTGTCATACATATTTACATTAAAAAAAACTATAATCACGACTTAGCCAATTCTTTCCTGAAACGACCCGCATATGCTGATTCTCATGCTTTTGCATCATTAGAACAATTCTGTCTCAATTTCTTAGTGACAGGAGACAGTGGACAATCGGGTTTCAACTTCACCTGAACCCAATGATTTTCGTTGACAAATGAGTTGCTTTTGGATACACAGAATCAATGGTATTCATTAATGCAAGTTTCCGGTTCGTCACCATAATATTTGGTAGCAATTTCTCTGAATAGAACAACTCTTTGAGCTTATGTAGTGCCCATGTGAAGTTCTCCTCCCTTTATGTTTCAAATAGGCAAAAGCAACTGAAAACGTCAATTTTGTTGATTTAACACCAATAATCTCCAGTAGTGGTAGCCGGTACCTGCACGATAAAAATGCACATTCATCAACTAGCTCATTCAACATGTTTTAGGATGGTATAAGTAAAATTCTTACCTATTTGTCTTGTATGTACAATAAAAAATTAACACCAAAGGAAACATATTCAACAACTTCAGAGTCAGAGTGTGTCCAAAAGATATCAACCACAATATCTGAATTCTCCCTGTTTCTAGTCCAACACGTGTATTTCTCTTGATGTTCGACCAGGGAAATTGTTAGGTTTCATTATCAGCCAAAAAGGAATTGAGGTTGATCCTGATAAAGTCAAAGAAATTCAAGAAATGTCTGCACCAAGGACTGAAAAGAATGTTAGAGGCTTCCTTGGGCGTCTGAATTATATTTCCCAATTTATCTCCCATATGACTGCCACATATGAACCGATCTTTAAGTTGTTAAAGAAAGATCAAGGTTGTGTGTGGATAGATGATTGTTGTGATACGGTGGGAGAACTGACTACGAGTTTTGCATTCGTATTCGCACTTGTGCGGTTAGCAAGAGTCGCCACCGACTTTTTATTTTATCCTAAAGGAAAGGTTAAAAAAGCACAACAAAAACCTTTTGAGATATTTCATGGGTTCGGGGGGTAGATTATGAAAAGGGAAGGTATTAGCACCCTTTTCATCCATGGTTATCCATGGGCTCTTAGTTACTTGGTTTTTTAGATCACTTGCCTTGTTTTTCGATTGCTTTGAAAATGGTGTATGTGTGGGTGCTTTTTGAAAATGTTTTGGAAAAAGATGCCTTGTCTTAGGCCAACCTTGTAATAATTCTTTACTCGAATGTTTTACAAAGGTGCATATCTTTTCGAAAAGATGATTCAAAAGTTTGAAAAGTTGATTTTTGAAAGTGTTGTGGATTGTGTTTTTTTGAAAAGAAGGCAAGTGTTTTTGCAAGTTTGATCTCAAGTAACTAAGAGTTTTTGTCTACCCTATTGTACTCAAAGGTTTTTTGTCATGTTTTAACCCCTTTTAACAATTTTGTTCCACCATTGAAATTGGTGGACAATCTTGCGTTTAGGAAGTTTATTCGGGACAGGCGCGGGTCATCGTATGGACCATGAATGCAATGGTGCCAAGTGTCTTTGGCAATTTGCTTTGAAGTGACTATGATCATTCCGTTTTAGGCAACATTCGAAAGCGTCATCGAGGGACTTGTGATCATTTGATTTTGTTTTGCCAAAGACATTCGACGTGCAAGCATGGCCCATTTTGGAAGGCAACATGTGGGATTACCCTAGGGGGTGCAAGTGTGATTGTGTATTGATTACATGTATTTGTCTTGTATTAGGTTATCTAGCGTTCGATTTTATGTACGTACAAACCCTAGATCTAATCATGGTATAATTGGAAAAACTGTAAATTGCGGAATGTAAATCTACGCTATTACACAATAATATCCAGGAGTGGGGGTATAAATGTACAAGGGGATGAGACTTATAGTATTTACAACCAAATCGAATGTCACAATCAAAATATAAATGTCGAATGTACAAATATAAAATAAAATGTGTGTAGAGCAATATATTGTGTAAGTGCAAATGTATGTGTATTGTGTAAGTGTAAATATGTACAAGTGCGAAATGTGAAATTGAGCCGTATTAGGGTTTGGACCTAGGTGAATGTATTTTAACGAATCTCGATTTTTGTATGTTAATTATGTACTAAAGAATTTCAATTTTAATTATGTATATATAAAAAAGAAAAGATAATATATACAAATGTATTCTAATTAAAAAAGATATTTTCAAATTATGTATAAAAGTATTTGGTTATTTTTTATGTACAAATGTGTATTAATCTAAAGAAAATGTTTTAAACATATGGTGAAAATATAATTTATTCAAGTTAGTATTTACAAAATAAAAAGAGTGAACATTTTTTATAAGATAAAAAGAGGGTTAGTGTTTTTTTTTTTTATAAAAATGAAGTAAGTTAATTAAGGTTAGTGATTAATGTTGTTAAAAAGAAAAGAGGCATTTTAAATGGGCTTCAGGGAAGTATGAACGGGTTAAGCCCAATGGTCCAAAGGCAAAAAATTAGGGTTGATGCGTTGTTTGTTCAATTGAGATAAAGGGCTCTAGGGTTAACAGCGGCGCCGCGCGTTGAGTTCATCTTCTCCGATTAGCCATTCCCTGAGCGTTTTCTCCGGCCACCAACGCTAATCAATGCCTTTCTTCCCTCCAAGGCATGAGCCTAGCGTCCTTGATTCCTGGTTCGTTTTAATGTCTTATGTTCTTATCTTTTGTCTTTTTACAAATTGCATGTTTGATTTGAGTTTTAAGTATTTTCTTTTCATTATGAGGTGAAGGAGAAGAGGTAGAAGGCGAGGATTATACTACCTGATATTTGGAGGTGGAGGAAAGGTGGAGAAGTAGCGCTCAGGAGGCCGGAGCGGCGAAGGGAGATGCTTGCTACGCTTTTGACGCCTTCCTGGTAACTTCGTTCTTTGCTTATGTTAGGGCTTTGATGATGTTGCTAGATTTGCCTGAAAAACCTTCTTAAAATTCACTCTTTTTATCTTCTTCTTCCGCTATGTGTTGCCTTGGGTTGTTGTATGTTGCCTGAGATGTTTTGCCTTGAGCTTGCCCTTTCGCTTGCCTAGAACTGTTGCCTCAACTGTTTTGCCTTGAGCCTGCCCTATGATGTGTTTCACTGAGGGCCTCTTTCTTTTCTCTTGAGCACTGTATATTTTCTCGTATCACCCTGTGATGACCTCAAAGGTCTGAGGGTCTAGGTTGCCTACGTTGCCCTGACTATGCTTCTTGTTTGACTTCTATGAGTTGCCTAGCATTTTTGTTGAATGGTGGCTTTCTTGGACGATTCGCCTTGGCTACTTTAGAACATTGCTGCCTTGAATGATTGTTGAGTTGGATGTCATGTTTTTATTGCCTATGATGAAGAAATTCTGAGGCTAGGTGTTGGTTTTGATCAGTTTGCAGGTATGGTGAGGTTTGT